CCTCAAGTCAAATTCCTGATCACAGTCACTTGCAAACCAAGGTACACCACATACCAAGATGAGTACACTTTTAAAAGAGAATTCACTTTCTGTGCAGATTATAACTTGTGGGAAGTTGAAGGATTTGGACAAAGAGAAAACAAGTTCAGCAGCAGGAGAGTGGTATGCATTCCAGGTATCAAGACTGGTGATACCAATATGCCTCCTTGTGTGCTCCTTTTCCTGGGGACCCACAGATGAGAGGGTGAAGCAAACAAAGCAGCTGCAGCTGATTGCTTCCTTGAAGCCAGGCATTTATTGGCTGACACATTTCCTGGGAGACATGACATTATATTGCTTGGCTTTGTGCCTCATGACTCTGGCAGTGTTGGCCATAGATGCTGGGACTGATTCCATTTTGATACCTTACACTGGGGTATTCATGCTCATTTTTGTGACTTTTGGGATTGCTGGCATCCTCATGGCATACTGTGCATCTTTCCTTTTCAATGGGAGAACCAACAGCATAGCTGCTTTGATGTTCCTGGTGGTGGTTGGGGATGTTTTATACTACATCAATGAGGTTGTCAGGGGAGGAGGCAGAGGGTGGCTCACCAGAACCCTGGCAGTCCTGCCAACATTCTGTGTCCTCAAAGCAACAGATGCATTGGCAAGAACTGCATTCAGGATGCAAGTCATACAACCCATCATCACCAACTACACAGGGTTGGCAAAAGTGCTACCACTTGAGGGTTTGGACTGCATTGGCATTGGGGGAAGGTTGGATAGTGGGACAGTGATAACCATCAGGAACCTGGCTCACACACACAGAGCCATGTTTGAATGGGGCAATGAAGTGTCCCTGTATTTGCTTATCCTTGCAGGATCAAGCATACTTTTATTGACCTGTCTGGTGCTGTTTGAAGTATTTGGCAACTTTGGGGACTTCACATGTGGGTAAGTCAAGCACTTGTCCAGAGGATTTCATAATTTCTGAATGACACTTTTTACTCATTTCAGAACCAAGCAGTATGTGAGAAACTATGAAGCTGCAGTTTCAGGCAGGGTTTCAGATGATTATGTTGGGGAGGAAGCAGACAGGATTGAGTCTCTGGTGGCCAGTGAAAAGGTGCATGAGGAACATTTGGTAGTTGCCAATGTATTCAAAAGATTCCAGAGGAAACTGCCCATCAGAGGCATTTCTTTTGGTGTCCACTATGGAGAGTGTTTTGGACTGCTTGGGGTCAATGGTGCTGGGAAGACCTTGGTTTTCAAAATTGTGTCAGGTTGGTTCTGAATTTCACAACTAAGATAACTTCCTTTGAGAGTGGATGACCTGAGGAAAAATGGATTGTTCAGACAAAACAAAGCCTTTTGGTTCAAGATCAATTTAGGTCTTGATTTGGGAATTTGATGACATGACATCAATTTGACAAAAGTCATGAAAAGTTTTGCCAGAAGTACTTTCAGTTGATAAATATGACCTTTGAAAGATTCAACATTATGTCAGGGTGTTGTCTAATTTGAAAAACAGGACTTGTTCTGCCTTCAAGAGGCTCAGTGTGGATAGAGGGTAAAAAGCTAGCCAGAAACAACTCCAGGGCATTCAGGAATGTTGGGTATTGCCCACAATTTGATGGATTCCTTCATCTTCTCACTGGGAGAGAAACACTGGTTTTGATGGCAAAACTAAAAGGCATCCCACCAGGGGATGTAGATGCCAGGGTTGCAGAAGTTCTGCATCTGACAAGTATGTCTCCAGTGCTTAAGTCATTCTAGGGAATGCATATCAAAGCAACAGGGATTCCTTTTTTCCCTTTCAAGACATGGGAGAAGAAGCAAATGACCTCTGCCAAAGATACAGTGAAGGCACACATAGGAAACTGAGCACAGGAATAGCCATCCTTGGGGACCCAAAACTATTGTTGCTGGATGAACCAACAGCTGGACTAGATCTGGAGACAAAGAAGAGGATTTGGGCATGGATCCTGGCTGGTTTGGAATCTGGAAAGCATTCTGTGCTTATGACCACTAATTGCCTGGAAGAAGCAGAACTGCTTTGCGACCGCCTTGGCATTTTGGTCAATGGACAAATCAAGTGCATTGGGACTCCAGATTTCTTGACTGGGAAAATATGTCCTGGGACCATCCTGACTGCCCCTTATGCTTTGGATGTGGAAAATGCAGAGGTAAATCAAAGATGAACTAGGGTTTTGGATAACAAATGTCCATACTAACAAACATTCCAGCTAAAATATGTTCCTAGACTGGATCACAAACACTGATCTAGAGCTAGCAACCCTTGGTAGGATACTTGGGGGCAGAACCCCAAAATGTCCCAAAGAAAAAAGTCAAGTACAGTACAGGAAACTTTCTAGGGAAAGTGCAATAAAGCTAACAACACATCACACTGGAATAAATTGCATTTGTTTTTTTAGAGGCTGCATTGCATCAATTATTCCTAAATTTTAAATAATGCTCTGATCCTTCTTTAAGCTTTTTTTTTAATAATTTCTTTTGGAATTTCCAGAAAAATTTTGTAAAATCCTGGGACAGATGAGTTCCCCAAACTTTTACAATCAATACTTCTACAATTTCAAAAAAATTGAAATGAACCATGATTAAAAATTTAGAATGGAAGACAAATTATTGGAATCATTGGGAATCAGGGATGAACCCTGTGCAATACCTTGAATTTTGATGAGCTAACTGGTAGGTTTTTCTCCAAAGTGGTACCTAGTCTAAAAAGAACCAAGGTCAAAATGGGACAACCATTGTATTTATTGAAGTACTGTACCACACATTTTCAAGTGAAGTGCACACCTGAATTTTGAAGCCTAAAATTTGAACAAAAAAATGTATTTCCAAGTGAGACATGCACACTTTTTCAAGATAAGAAAAAGTGAAGTACTTTGTAAATGAAATGCAACAGAATTTAAATTTTGACTTGCACAGTGATCAAATTGAGTTCCAATTTTTCCTGTTTCCATTCTTTTAAAGTTTCCTTTTAAAATGGAAAAAAACCCTGTTGGAATCAAGTATGATGCACACCACAGCTTAAATTTGCTTTTAATATCATACCCATCTATGATACTGCACCCCCTTTTTCTTTTAATTTCTAACAAAAAAGGTGCTTGTGGTACACTAGCAAAAATACAGTACAGGTACTAGATCACATAAACTAAATCAACACTACATATGGAAGAATAATTTCTTTGTGCCCTCTCACATCCAATACCATTTGCAACAACTTCTTGCAGTTCAGGGCAGCAAGAAAGTCAATCATCCTGGCCCTCGGCCCAGAAGGAATTCTCGAAGAAGCAACTCAACTCGGCTACTTAGTCTTCAGGGTGAAACCAGAAATAATCAGCATGGAGAAAATCCACGCAGTTATGCAAGAGACCATGCAAAAGTATCCATTCCTGCTCGGATATGAATGTACCTCAGCCAAATTCGTCGACGTGTTCCTGAGGCTTTCCAAGTTGAACGAGCCTTTGGAGGACGAAATCCCTGTCTGTCCCAACATAATTTGCTGAAATTTCCCCCAAATCTTCACTATAATAACTGAAATAAATGGTACAGTGTTTATTTTCTTATTTTGAAGATTAAAATGATTATTCATAGCATGGAAAATTTCATGCGGTTTAAAATGAACATGGTCGTAATTCGAGAGATTCAATTCCATATAATATGGGTCATTCACAAATTTCCCGCCGCTTTTGATTCTCCACAAATGCAATGCACATATAAATGCGACGAAAACACGAAAACATTTTGAATCCTCTCCACCAAAAAGGAGCACTTTCGCAAGATCAGGGAAATTAATCTTGCTGAAATTTTCCACAAATCTTCAATATAATAGCTTGAAATAAACGTTTTTTTCTTACTCACATTATTGATAGTCTGAGAAAATCAAGACTCCCAACAGCAAATATTCAATTTTTCAAAATCCTGCACGTTCCAAATTTACTTGACATTCTTATAGGGGTTCAGGAACATGGGGCTCTTTCAGGTTCCACTCACAACCAAAGAAGAATCAGAAGATTTTTTTTTTTTTTTTTACTCACAAAATCACGGGTATCAACCATAAGATGGGATCTTCAGCTTTATTCAAAGAAGCGTTTGTGTCCGCAACTCAAGCACACCTTTCCTGAAATAGCAATAAATTATTTATGATTTTAGCCAAAAGCAACGGAAAACGGATCAGAAAAACCTAGAAAAACCTTTACATGACCTATTTTATTTAATAATTTTTCAAAAATAAAATACAACGCCACAATCGACAGGTAAAGAGAAATTTTAAAAGATGAATTGAGGGACCCAAGAACGTTTCGGTCAAACGCTTCCCGAAATCAACGTTGTTTTACCACAAAATAAGCGGATCACCACATTTTCTCATAAACCCATTTGTTCTTTCAAGACTACTTCAACTATCCCGAAATCAGGTACTGCACTTCGAGGAAAATCATCAATCGCATCGAAATTCGAATCGGGCGACACCTACGCAGAATTTTATAAAATTTAGTATTATACATGCCTCCTGTTCTCGACTCAAGCGACACCTACGTAGAAATGTTTAATCGCGTATTCTCAATTTCCCTCTGCTTCCAGGGCATTGAAGTGAAGGTACTGTATTTCTTAATACAGTACAGTAGAACCTCTTCAACTCAAAGTTCAAGGGACCAGCAAAAAAATTATACCTAGGAAAGTTTAGAGTTGAGGAAGCAAGAGCTTTGCATGGGGGTTTGAAGAATTACAGAAAATTGTAATTTGGTGCTGGGCCTTGAATTTCTTTTTGAATGAGTTGGCAGAATGCTAAACTTGGAGGCAATTGTTCATTTGCCTAATTAAACTCTTACTTCCCTTCAAAACACATCAAGATACATTGTTATAGCTTTTCTCATTCATGCGTCAATAAAATACGAGGAATCTAACGAAAGTTCTCGGAATATGAATTAAAATGGCATATAATTGAGCTGAAAAAAAATTATTCTTCAATAATAAAATTATTCTTTAAAAATATATTTTTTTTTCAGCAAAATAGACACAAGGGCTCTAGAAAATTTGCGTTGACGTAGGTTTAAGGAGGAAAGCCTTCGAGTTAAAGACGTTTTAAATGCATTCTTTCTGAAAGAATTCAGACAGCTACTGGAAAAAAAAATTCGACACAGGGATGTTCCACTGTATACGAAAGAAATACTTCGCCGCAATTTTTGATTAATTTGCTATTTGGAGAAATAAAAAAACATTGACAGGACGTTTCACTCGAAAAGTTCCCATTTTCGCATCAACATCACCGCGTTTTGGTTCATATAAACAACACTCACAATAGTCACAAACCTCTTCAGCACGGGATCACATTTTCTCGTAAACTCGCTCGTGTCCGCAAGTCGAGCACACTTGCTTGTACTCGTCCGAAGCCTCCAAATATTCTTCTTCCCCGTACTCGTGAACGTGTCCGCTACCCAAGTTCTGCTTGTACAAACTACTCCTCACGGCTCGACGCAACTCCTTCACCTTCTTCTCCATTCGCTTCTGCTTCGTCCGCTCTTTGTTGCCGCCGCGGCGCTCGTGCTCTTCCTCCAGGGCTTCTTCGGAGCCCCAGACTTCCAAGGCTCGTTTTTCCACTTGTAACCTGTT